ACCAAAAAGAAGACGAACCACCCTCCTGTACGGCTCAGAGCCCTCTAGGTCCCTGTACAGCAAACAGCTCAGGCCGACGGAGCGTTCCCACGGGCGATGCCCGCGTGCCACCGTTGGACATCAGACGGGAGGGACTCAGCCACAAACAACAGGGTCCCTGGAAGAGAGAGCTCAGACAACTCGGCAGTGAATCCGTCTTGCCGCCGCCGCCGCTGCCTTCGTCAGCTGCGCTGGGCTGGCCACGTCTCGCGCATGGAGGACCGCAGGGTGCACAAAGCCGCGGCCGCCCCCCCTACAGCGAGCTCTGTCACGGGGGGGGGGGGGGGGGGACGAGACACGAGGAGTTGGGGGCGAGACGCGAGGAGTTGGGGGCGAGACGCGAGGAGTTGGGGGCGAGACGCGAGGAGTTGGGGGCGAGACGCGAGGAGTTGGGGGCGAGACGCGAGGAGTTGGGGGCGAGACGCGAGGAGTTGGGGGCGAGACGCGAGGAGTTGGGGGCGAGACGCGAGGAGTTGGGACCTCGCAGGGGCTTCGAGGCGCAGCTCAAACAGCAAACGAAGCTGCGGGTAACGACACTCAGGGCTGCTGCTGCTGCTGCTACAGACAATGAGGCAGCTGAAAGTGTCAGACCGCGCGGGGCTCAAAGCGTCAAGAGCAAGGCGGAGAGGCAGAAAGGTCGCCGTCTCGGACGGGTCCCCCACTCAGGAGGCTCCGACTGCCACGAGAGTCAAGGGCCGTCGGCCTGTACAGCCACCAGCGCGCCTCCTGCCCACTACAGGGAGCTCACATTCACCCCCGGCCGACGACGATATAACGCGCAGCTGCGTGTGTATTCAGCGTACGACATAACGCCGTGTGTGTAACGTTACGCACGCAGTTGCGTGTATCTACAGAAGGCCCAGCTGTGTGTCTACAGAAGGCCCAGCTGTGTCTCCAGAAGGCCCAGCTGTGTGTCTACAGAAGGCCCAGCTGTGTGTCTACAGAAGGCCCAGCTGTGTCTACAGAAGGCCCAGCTGTGTGTCTACAGAAGGCCCAGCTGTGTATCTACAGAAGGCCCAGCTGTGTCTACAGAAGGCCCAGCTGTGTGTCTACAGAAGGCCCAGCTGTGTGTCTACAGAAGGCCCAGCTGTGTCTACAGAAGGCCCAGCTGTGTGTCTACAGAAGGCCCAGCTGTGTGTCTACAGAAGGCCCAGCTGTGTCTACAGAAGGCCCAGCTGTGTGTCTACAGAAGGCCCAGCTGTGTCTCCAGAAGGCCCAGCTGTGTATCTACAGAAGGCCCAGCTGTGTGTCTACAGAAGGCCCAGCTGTGTCTACAGAAGGCCCAGCTGTGTCTACAGAAGGCCCAGCTGTGTGTCTACAGAAGGCCCAGCTGTGTATCTACAGAAGGCCCAGCTGTGTGTCTACAGAAGGCCCAGCTGTGTCTACAGAAGGCCCAGCTGTGTCTACAGAAGGCCCAGCTGTGTCTACAGAAGGCCCAGCTGTGTCTCCAGAAGGCCCAGCTGTGTGTCTACAGAAGGCCCAGCTGTGTGTCTACAGAAGGCCCAGCTGTGTGTTTCCAGAAGGCCCAGCTGTGTGTTTCCAGAAGGCCCAGCTGTGTGTCTACAGAAGGCCCAGCTGTGTGTCTCCAGAAGGCCCAGCTGTGTGTCTACAGAAGGCCCAGCAGTGTGTTTCCAGAAGGCCCAGCTGTGTGTCTCTAGAAGGCCCAGCTGTGTGTCTACAGAAGGCCCAGCTGTGTGTCTCCAGAAGGCCCAGCTGTGTCTCCAGAAGGCCCAGCTGCGTGTCTACAGAAGGCCCAGCTGTGTGTCTCCAGAAGGCCCAGCTGTGTCTACAGAAGGCCCAGCTGTGTGTCTCCAGAAGGCCCAGCTGTGTGTCTACAGAAGGCCCAGCTGCGCGTCTACAGAAGGCCCAGCTGTGTGTCTACAGAAGGCCCAGCTGTGTGTCTACAGAAGGCCCAGCTGTGTGTCTACAGAAGGCCCAGCTGTGTGTCTACAGAAGGCCCAGCTGTGTGTCTACAGAAGGCCCAGCTGTGTGTCTACAGAAGGCCCAGCTGTGTGTCTACAGAAGGCCCAGCTGTGTGTCTACAGAAGGCCCAGCTGTGTGTCTACAGAAGGCCCAGCTGTGTGTCTCCAGAAGGCCCAGCTGTGTCTCCAGAAGGCCCAGCTGTGTCTACAGAAGGCCCAGCTGTGTCTACAGAAGGCCCAGCTGTGTGTCTACAGAAGGCCCAGCTGTGTGTCTACAGAAGGCCCAGCTGTGTCTATAGAAGGCCCAGCTGTGTCTACAGAAGGCCCAGCTGTGTCTACAGAAGGCCCAGCTGTGTCTACAGAAGGCCCAGCTGCGTGTCTACAGAAGGCCCAGCTGCGTGTCTACAGAAGGCCCAGCTGCGTGTCTACAGAAGGCCCAGCTGTGTGTCTACAGAAGGCCCAGCTGCGTGTCTACAGAAGGCCCAGCTGTCTCCAGAAGGCCCAGCTGTGTGTCTACAGAAGGCCCAGCTGTGTGTCTACAGAAGGCCCAGCTGTGTCTACAGAAGGCCCAGCTGTGTGTCTCCAGAAGGCCCAGCTGTGTGTCTACAGAAGGCCCAGCTGTGTGTCTACAGAAGGCCCAGCTCTGTGTCTCCAGAAGGCCCAGCTGTGTGTCTACAGAAGGCCCAGCTGTGTGTCTACAGAAGGCCCAGCTGTGTGTCTACAGAAGGCCCAGCTGTGTGTCTCCAGAAGGCCCAGCTGTGTCTACAGAAGGCCCAGCTGTGTCTACAGAAGGCCCAGCTGTGTCTCCAGAAGGCCCAGCTGTGTCTACAGAAGGCCCAGCTGCGTGTCTACAGAAGGCCCAGCTGTGTGTCTACAGAAGGCCCAGCTGTGTGTCTACAGAAGGCCCAGCTGTGTGTCTCCAGAAGGCCCAGCTGTGTGTCTCCAGAAGGCCCATCTGTCTCCAGAAGGCCCAGCTGTGTGTCTACAGAAGGCCCAGCTGTGTCTACAGAAGGCCCAGCTGTGTGTCTCCAGAAGGCCCAGCTGTGTGTCTCCAGAAGGCCCATCTGTCTCCAGAAGGCCCAGCTGTGTCTCCAGAAGGCCCAGCTGTGTCTACAGAAGGCCCAGCTGTGTGTCTACAGAAGGCCCAGCTGTGTATCTACAGAAGGCCCAGCTGTGTGTCTACAGAAGGCCCAGCTGTGTCTCCAGAAGGCCCAGCTGTGTCTCCAGAAGGCCCAGCTGTGTGTCTCCAGAAGGCCCAGCTGCGTGTCTACAGAAGGCCCAGCTGTGTCTCCAGAAGGCCCAGCTGCGTGTCTACAGAAGGCCCAGCTGTGTCTACAGAAGGCCCAGCTGTGTGTTTACAGAAGGCCCAGCTGTGTGTCTACAGAAGGCCCAGCTGTGTGTCTACAGAAGGCCCAGCTGTGTGTCTATAGAAGGCCCAGCTGTGTGTCTACAGAAGGCCCAGCTGTGTGTCTACAGAAGGCCCAGCTGTGTGTCTACAGAAGGCCCAGCTGTGTGTCTACAGAAGGCCCAGCTGTGTGTCTACAGAAGGCCCAGCTGTGTGTCTACAGAAGGCCCAGCTGTGTGTCTACAGAAGGCCCAGCTGTGTGTCTACAGAAGGCCCAGCTGTGTCTACAGAAGGCCCAGCTGTGTGTCTCCAGAAGGCCCAGCTGTGTGTATACAGAAGGCCCAGCTGTGTCTACAGAAGGCCCAGCTGTGTCTACAGAAGGCCCAGCTGTGTGTCTACAGAAGGCCCAGCTGTGTGTCTACAGAAGGCCCAGCTGTGTGTCTACAGAAGGCCCAGCTGTGTGTCTATAGAAGGCCCAGCTGTGTGTCTACAGAAGGCCCAGCTGTGTGTCTACAGAAGGCCCAGCTGTGTGTCTACAGAAGGCCCAGCTGTGTGTCTACAGAAGGCCCAGCTGTGTGTCTACAGTAGGCCCAGCTGTGTGTCTACAGAAGGCCCAGCTGTGTCTACAGAAGGCCCAGCTGTGTGTCTCCAGAAGGCCCAGCTGTGTGTATACAGAAGGCCCATCTGTGTCTACAGAAGGCCCAGCTGTGTGTCTACACAGCGAGGGAGTTTCCCCCTCTTCGCCCCCCCCCTCTCCCCCCCTTACCCCCCGCGTTTCCGACCGCAACGAACTCGCATACAGAGAGGGGTGGTGAGGGGTGAGGAGGTGAAGGGTGAGGAGGTGAAGGGTGAGGAGGTGAAGGGTGAGGAGGTGAAGGGTGAGGAGGTGAAGGGTGAGGAGGTGGGGCTAGATGAGGTGAGGAGGTGGGGCTAAATGAGGAGAGGGGGTGATGAGGTGAGGGGGTGGGGCTAGATGAGGTGGGGTGAGGATGTGGGGTTAGATGAGGTGAGAGTGTGAGGTTAGATGAGGTGAGGAGGTGGGGTTAGATGAGGTCAGGTGGGGTTAGATGAGGTGCGGGGGATGAAGGGAGTGGGGTTCTATGGGGTGAGGGGGGTGTGGGCGGAGCCTGGGTAGGGGGTGGAGTCTGGGTAGGGGGTGGAGTCTGGGTGTGGGTGGAGTCTGGGTAGGGGCGGAGCCTGGGTAGGGGGCGGAGTCTCCGTGGCGTCTCGGAGTGCGCGAGTTGCAACAGCGACTCGCAGAGTTCCCCACGTGTCTCACACGGAGACTGTGTCCCTCGGTGTCTCCCTGTCTCCCCACGTGTCTCCCTGTCTCACCACGTGTCTCCCTCGGTGTCTCCCTCTGTGTCTCCCTGTCTCACAACGTGTCTCACACGGGGACTGTCTCCCTCTGTGTCTCTGTGTCTCACCACGTGTCTCCCTGTCTCCCTCTGTGTCTCCCTGTCTCACCACGTGTCTCACACGGGGACTGTCTCCCTCAGTGTCTCTGTGTCTCACCACGTGTCTCCCTGTCTCCCTCGGTGTCTCCCTGTCTCACCACGTGTCTCCCTGTCTCCCTCGGTGTCTCTGTGTCTCCCTCTGTGTCTCCCTGTCTACCCACGTGTCTCACACGGGACTGTCTCCCTCTGTGTCTACCCACGTGTCTCACACGGGGACTGTCTCCCTGTCTCCCTCTGTGTCTCCCTGTCTCCCTCTGTGTCTCCCTGTCTCACCACGTGTCTCCCTGTCTCCCCACGTGTCTCACACGGGGACTGTCTCCCTGTCTCCCTGCGTCTCCCGAATCTCCCGTGTCTCAACGAGGCTCCACGCCGTGTCTCCACGCCGTGTCTCCACCCCGTGTCTCCACCACCACCACCACCATGAGTGACGAGCTGATGAGCGGCTGGCTACGCAAATCTCCCTCCGAGAAGACGCTCTGCCGTGCCGTGAGTAACACCACGACTCGCATTTACGTCGCCTCAAACCCACACTTACGTCGCCTCAAACCCACACTTACGACGCCTCAAACCCACACTTACGTCGCCTCAAACCCACACTTACGACGCCTCAAACCCACACTTACGACGCCTCAAACCCACATTTACGTCGCCTTAAACCCACACTTACTAATACAGCACTAGTGTATAGTGTAGTGTATAGTGTAGTGTATCGTGTAATTTATAGTGGAGTGTGTAGTGGAGTGTATAGTGTAGTAGTGTATAATGTAGTGTGTAGTGTCGCGTGTAGTGGATAGTATAGTGTAGCGTATAGTGTAGCGTATAGTGTGGTGTGTAGTGTATAGTGTAGTGTATAGTGTAGTGTATAGTGTAGTGTATAGTGTAGTGTATAGTGTAGTGTATAGTGTAGTATATTAGTACATAAGTAGTGTATTGTGTAGTGTATAGTGTAGTGTGTAGTGTACTAGTACAGCAGTAGTGTATAGTGTAGTGTATAGTGTAGTATACTAGTACAGCAGTAGTGTATAGTGTAGTGTATAGTATCGTGTCGTGTATAGTGTAGTGTATAGTGTAGTATACTAGTACAGCAGTAGTGTGTAGTGTATAGTGTAGTATACTAGTACAGCAGTAGTGTATAGTGTAGTGTATAGTGGAGTGTAGTGTATAGTGTAGTGTATAGTGTAGTATACTAGTACAGCAGTAGTGTATAGTGTAGTGTATAGTGTAGTGTATAGTGTAGTATACTAGTACAACAGTAGTGTATGGTGTAGTGTATGGTGTAGTGTATAGTGTAGTGTATAGTGTAGTATACTAGTACAGCAGTAGTGTATAGTGTAGTGTATAGTGTAGTGTATAGTGGAGTGTACTAGTACAGCAGTAGTGTATAGTGTAGTGTATAGTGGAGTGTAGTGTATAGTGTAATGTATAGTGTAATGTATAGTGTAATGTATAGTGTAGTATACTAGTACAACAGTAGTGTATAGTGTAGTGTATAGTGGAGTGTAGTGTATAGTGTGGTGTATAGTGTAGTATACTAGTACAACAGTAGTGTATAGTGTAGTGTATAGTGTAGTGTATAGTGTAGTATACTAGTACAACAGTAGTGTATAGTGTAGTGTATAGTGGAGTGTAGTGTATAGTGTAGTGTATAGTGTAGTATACTAGTACAACAGTAGTGTATAGTGTAGTGTATAGTGTAGTGTATAGTGTAGTATACTAGTACAGCAGTAGTGTATAGTGTAGTGTATAGTGGAGTGTACTAGTACAGCAGTAGTGTATAGTGTAGTGTATAGTGGAGTGTACTAGTACAGCAGTAGTGTATAGTGTAGTGTATAGTGTAGTGTATAGTAGTGTAGTGTATAGTGTAGTATATAGTGTAGTGTATAGTGTAGTGTATAATGTAGTGTATAGTGTAGTGTATACTGTAGTGTATAGTGTAGTGTATAGTGTAGTGTACTAGTACAGCAGTAGTGTATAGTGTAGTGTATAGTGTAGTGTATAGTGTAGTGTATAGTAGTGTATAGTAGTGTAGTGTATAGTAGTGTAGTGTACAGTGTAGTGTATAGTGTAGTATACTAGTACGGCACACCGGTTGTGTGTTTCATCAGGCGTGCTTTACCAGTGACGAATTGGCATGTAATGTTTACAGCCCTTACTAGTTGGCTGTGGCGGGGTTTAGTGACACATTTAGATATTTAAACGATCTAACCCCCAAAACCCTCTTATGGATATTGGTCGCGAACGCCTACGTGTTAAACAAACTACACCACTATATACTACACTACTATATACTACACTACTATACACTACACTACTATACACTACACTACTATACACTACACTACTATATACTACACCACTATACACTACACTACTATATACTACACCACTACACTACTATACACTACTATATACTACACTACACTATACACTACACTACTATACACTACACTACTATACACTACACTACTATACACTACACTACTATACACTACACTACTATATACTACACCACTACACTACTATACACTACACTACTATATACTACACTACTATATACTACACCACTACACTACTATACACTACACTACTATATACTACACCACTACACTACTATACACTACACTACTATATACTACACCACTACACTACTATACACTACACTACTATATACTACACCACTACACTACTATACACTACACTACTATATACTACTATACCCTACTACACTACTACACTACTATACACTACACTACTATATACTACACCACTACACTACTATACACTACACTACTATATACTACACCACTACACTACTATACACTACACTACTATATACTACACCACTACACTACTATACACTACACTACTATATACTACTATACCCTACTACACTACACTACTATACACGTCACTACTATATACTACACCACTACACTACTACACACTACACCACTACACTACTATACACTACACTACTACACACTACACTACTACACACTACACTACTACACACTACACTACTATACACTACACTACTCTATACTACACTATTATACACTACACTACTATATACTACTATACCCTACTACACTACTATACGCATCACTACTATATACTACTATACACTACACTACACACTACACTACTATACACTACACTACTATACACGTCACTACTATATACTACTATACCCTACTACACTACACTACTATACACGTCACTACTATATACTACTATACCCTACTACACTACTATACACATCACTACTATATACTACTATACCCTACTACACTACACTACTATACACATCACTACTATATACTACTATACCCTACTACACTACTACACACTACACTACTACACACTACACTACTATACACTACACTACTATACCCTACTACACTACACTACTATACACTACACTACTATATACTACTATACACTACACTACTACACACTACACTACTATACACTACACTACTATATACTACTATACACTACACTGCTACACTACTATATACTACTATACACTACTACATACTACACTACTATACACTACACTACTATATACTACTATACACTACACTACTACACTACTACATTATATACTACACTACTATATACTACTACACTACTACACACTACACTACTATACACTACACTACTATATACTACTATACACTACACTACAACATACTACACTACTATACACTACACTACTATATACTACTACACACTACACGACTATACACGTCACTACTATATACTACTACACACTACACTACTATACACCACACTACTATATACTACTATACACTACACTACTATATACTACTACATACCACACTACTATATACTACTATACACTACACTACTACACACTATACTACTATATACTGCTATACACTACTACACTCACACTACACTACTATATACTACTATACACTACACACTACACTACTATACACTACTATATACTACTATACACTACACTACTACACACTACACTACTATATACTACTACACACTACACTACTACACACTACACTACTATATACTACACCACTACACTACTATACACTACACCACTACACTACTATACACTACACTACTACACACTACACTACTATATACTACTATACACTACACTACTACACACTACACTACTATATACTACTATACACTACACTACTACACACTACACTACAGGTGCACCGTGTCTCGTGTAGTTCGTCTCCCAAGTTTTGGCTGCCGTACCAAACGAGCGTCGAGTGTGGTGTGTTTTTGTTGTAGTCGTTCAGTCGTCACGTTGGCGGGCTCGCCTGGGATTGTATCCCAATGAGGAGGAGCTCCCTCTGTACGGTGTTCGTCATGGCTGTTGCTGTTTCGATATCCGTCGGTGATGCCTCTCGGGAACGCTACTTGGAATCGGTGACATTCTTTGCCCGTTGCAGCCACCACCACCACCACCGTTTTTTTACTGGACATCTGTGAAAAAGAGCTTTATAGCTGATCGGATTCCTCCTACTGCAGTCTGAATACTGACTCTCATTCTGTTTTTGTAACAAGATCTGTTTCCCTGACGTAGTAAAATCCTTCCTTGGGAAAATGTTCCCGAAGCAGAAGATCGGTGCCTGAATGTACAAATAGCAGCAGCAGCAGCCCGGCACGTTTTTGATCATTTGTGATTTGTAACTTTGAACCTTACCACCCAGTGTGTCATCGATAGATCGATGTTCATGGGCAATGTAATTAAGGGACTGTTGTATTGGTGTGTGGTCTAAGACTGTTGTTGTTGTCGTTGTCTTGGTGTGGTGTGGGACTGTTGTTGTTGTCTTGGTGTGGTCTGTGACTGTTGTTGTTGTCTTGGTGTGGTCTGGGACTGTTGTTGTGGTCTTGGTGTGGTCTGGGACTGTTGTTGTGGTCTTGGTGTGGTCTGGGACTGTTGTTGTTGTTGTCTTGTTGTAGTCCTGGACTGTTGTTGTTGTTGTCTTGGTGTGGGGTCTAAGACTGTTGTTGTTGTTGGCTTGGTGGGGTCTGGGACTGTTGTTGTCTTGGTGTGGTCTGGGACTGTTGTTGTTGTCTTGGTGTGGTCTGGGACTGTTGTTGTTGTCTTGGTGTGGTCTGGGACTGTTGTTGTTGTCTTCGTGGGGTCTGGGACTGTTGTTGTAGTCTTGGTGTGGGGTCTAAGACTGTTGTTGTTGTGGTCTTGGTGTGGGGTCTAAGACTGTTGTTGTTGTGGTCTTGGTGTGGGGTCTAAGACTGTTGTTGTTGTTGGCTTGGTGGGGTCTGGGACTGTTGTTGTTGTTGTCTTGGTGTGGGGTCTAAGACTGTTGTTGTTGTTGTGGTCTTGGTGTGGTCTGGGACTGTTGTTGTCTTGGTGTGGTCTGGGACTGTTGTTGTTGTCTTGCTGTGGTCTGGGACTGTTGTTGTTGTCTTGGTGTGGTCTGGGACTGTTGTTGTTGTCTTGGTGTGGTCTGGGACTG